TACATATTTGAGAAAGAATACAAAACATAGGGATTATACCTCATCTTTAAGTTGGGTTTCAACAGTATCTCTCCCATCCCTATTTGACGCAGACACTGAAGGCTGATGATTACACGCTTACGCTTTTTTTTGCAATTTGCTTGGCTTTGAACCAGACTTTTAGTATTATCAGCAACTCGCTTTCCCTTGTCAGTCCTAGATTTGTTCTGACTGTCAATGTTGTAAAAATTAGGCTTCCTTTTCCTGTCTTTCCTAGAAGCGGCCTCCGAAACAGCTACAGGTTCACCAACTGGAGATCTATCACTAGAAGGCAAGTCAGGCTTCTTTTCTGAGGCTTTGTCATTTGTCTTTGAATCTGTCATATTCAAAAAGGGTGTTGCATCATTCATTGAAGAGCTCGGCTTCTCCAATGGAGTATCTGCAGAAGGCACCCCCTTCTCAGCTGGAGTATCTGAAGGAGGCACTTCCTTCTCCACTGGAGTATCTGAAGAGGCACTTCCTTCTCCACTGGAGTATCTGCTGGAGGCACCTCCTTTTCATTATCAACACCTATGTGCAATGAACTACCATCCGCAGCACCATCCCGGGAATGGTCACTTGGTTCAATGTCACAAGGAACATCATTGGAGAAATTACCCAGCTTCTCCATTTGACTGAGGTGTGATAAAGGAGTTCTTTCTTTTCCCGAGATCTTTCTTACCAGGAATGGAGCTTTCAAAAATCAGGGATACCTTGGAGATTCCCGATGGCTTATTTTCATTCTTTGCTTTTCCACCTGTAACTTTTGTCCTTGCCCGTTTCGAGACCATATCTAGAGGATTAACAGACTCGTGTGTATCGTTCTTCTGATAACATGTTGGACATTCCCACTTTCCAGTTGGTATACGCTATATAGGAAAAAAAAATGTCAGTAACAAAAGTAAACTGGATAGGATAAATTGGAAAGGGAAACCCAAACTACAACATGAAAGGTTTAAATGAAAATCGTCAATCCGGTTTTAAATAAAGCAACTATCAGTATACCTTAAGAGAGGATCCAGACACTGAATATGGTATGTACGCGGACAGCTTTCACCAGCAAAGCAAATTTCCACCAAGATCACAAACAACACATTCATAATAGTACTGGATGAAAGCAGATGGAAACAAGAGTCAGAAGCATTTTGAAAAGGCAAATGTATAGAAGCGATAAAGGTCGTGGAAAATACGTAAATCACACAGCAAGGCAATAAATCTCAAATAGCTTTTTTGGTCAGACAATTCTGGCAAGTTGATAGCAAACCTAACAGCTAGAGCTTAGAGGTAACGTACTCATAAAGAATTAACCAAAAAGAGAAAAGCAAGGACAACCAAAACTTTAAGAATACCAAACTAAAGATGCATGTTGGTCTCTTGATCAAGAAGTAAGGGAAATCTTCCTCCTAAACTACAGTTCAAGTCTTGTTTACCATGTAGTTTTACTGCCATAAATTGGAAAAGAAATAAAGAAAAACATAATGAATATACTAACCCCATCATTTCCTTTCTTCTTGCTAGAAGAACGACTTGAAGTGATTTCATTTTTCACTCGACATTTGGGTGAGTCACTCGAGGGTAAATCCAAGGGTTTTGAAGCCTTTTCTTTGCCATTTGACACATCAGGACCAGATGGAAGTTTTCGACGCTTGCGTTTTAAGACCCAGTTTCTGTTAAGCATTTTACTGGACGGTGAACCGTTTTCTTTCATCATTGCATACAGGATTGTACATCTCAAGCCAGAAAATCAGGACTCTCAGGCATCAAACTGATCACATATGCCTGCAAAAGTTTGTTTCTAAGAGCATTAGACATGAACCTGAAGGGAAAAACTAGAACACCTTCCGGAAATAAAGGTAAAGAAAGAAGATTTGAGCATACTGCATGGACAGAAAACATAGTAGGCTATTCAAATAGGAAAAAACTTAAAATTTTAATCTACATTACAACATAGCTCCCTAACCTTCGATCTCGCTTCTACTTTTTCCCTTCGTTTTTTTTAGAGGCATCTTTGACGCTCTTAACTATAAAACAAATGGAAAAGCCACTTTCTTAGGATGAACACATCATAGTGTGCTGGAGATTTCTAATGCATTCACATAGATGACAACTTAGTTAGCTGATTAAATCTTCATTCACTGAACGAGTATCAAACATTGTTTTCGTTGTAGATGATCATTTTTTTTATGAACATGATACTAGCTTGTGAATACCTAGTGTTGCGTAATCGAACATGTAATTGAGGATGCAAAGTAGAATGTTGAAACTAGATCCATGAAACTCATCATAATTAATGTGTAAGAAAGATGAAAGCTACCTCAAAATTAAATGGTGGAAAAGAACACAAGAAATAATAACATTGGGAACACTAAACATGAATTGACCCTACAGAGACCAACATTGACCTAATAATTTCTAGAGAAACACTACAAATAAACCTTAAAACGAAGTTAGCATCAGCCAAAGGAAGATAATTGGCTAATCTAAAAATGAACACTAGGACTAAGTAGCAACGAGGTATACTTTTAATATAGTAGGATTGGTTTAGCAAAAAAAATATGCATCCAAATAAACAGACATGAATACACTACTTGACTAATTTAACAAAAAAGGTAAGCATCACTTCCAGAAATTTTCCAAACTAGGATAAAACGAGACAAGTAGCTGAAATCATAAATTGAAGATGCAGCTAGTGGAATATGAAAGTATAACTTCGTAGGTTCAACACGGTTCATGAATCAAGATTGAAGGTATATAAAGAAACCGAACTTAATTAATTAAAGGACAGTTTAGATTATCAGAAATGCAAGTACATCACTATTACTTGGAAAACACCAACTTCCACAACAATCTGTTTCACACTTATGATTTAAAGCACCAACTTCCACAACAACACAACAATCTATTTCACATATATATATGGGAGATGATTTATAACCAAGCCCTCAAACAGAATCTAATTAACAGGATTACGCCATAGTAAGGCAGGTTAGGGGAAATTATACCATGTTCTTCACTTCCAACATAGATGTAGGCATTTCATTTAGAAATTTATATGGCACTAAAATCCGAGTTAAAATTCAAACCAGATAAGGAAAATAGCACAGTTGCATTTCATTTCCAACATAGATGTATGTGTTTCATTTAGAAATTTATAAGGCACTAAAACCTGAGCTAAAATTCAACCAGATAGGGAAAACAGCACAACTGCAATTAAAGAATCGCTAAAACCTAAATTAAGATTCAACCAGATAAGGAAAACAGCAACAATCACAATTAAAGAATCGCTAAAACCTAAACTAAAATTCAACCAGATAAGGAAAACAGCAACAATCACAATTAAAGAATCGTTAATTTCTATTTCAACAGACCTTAGAATCAAGTAGCAACTAGCAACGCAAATGCTCAGGTCAGTAGAGACTTACTAAAGCCATTCAAATAATTTTGATGAATACTGAAGCCATTCAAATAATCCAAGCCACATTTTTCCTCTTTATCAATCCAGCAGAACAAGCATGTGTTATACAGAAAACAAAACCATCACATGCATGCACAGCTGAATTAAACCATCAATGATCATAACCCTTTCAAAACCCCTCTACCATTTCAATTAGCACCGCCAACACACAATTCAAATCACCTAAAGATCAAACCTTTACAACAAAATCAAGCTAAAACACACAACATTACCACCAATCAAGCAACACCCACATCAAACTAAACAACAAAACACACAAGAATCAGCTCAAATTAAAAATTTAACAGAAAAAACTTAGCAAGTCCCATTCTTTTTTCAAAATGACACCAACCCAGATAAAGATTAACACATACCTGCAGATCAAAACAGATAAAAATCCAATCTTTATATATATCTCAGCTGAATCAAGAACAACAAAGTAAGAAAAGGGTAAAAGGGGAGTAACCCAATTTAGGGTATGAGGTATACAAGAAAGAGAGAGAGAGAGAGAAAGCAAGCGGTAGAAGGCAGACAAAAGATATAAATAGAGAGAAAAGGTTTTAGAGAGAGAGAGAGAGTGCATCCAAATACGGATTCACCGGGGTTATAGGACTTTGGGGGTTACACATCACAACACACACAGCTCAACACAAACACCAAACACTGACATGGCAGGCCAAAGGAGGGGGGAGGGGGGTTAGGGGGGTCTGTTTCTTAGGGGGGGTGGGGTAGGTTTGTGGGAAGCGAGCCAAAGGACATTGCCACTGAGATGATGACACGTGGAGGTCTGAATGGTTGTCCCATTCTCTCTCTTCACACTTTTCATCACACTTCTCTTTGATTCTTGAATGAGAAGAATAGGAGACTGAGAAGAGAGATTAAACAGAATCTGTTGAACCATTCTTGTAATCTCATGTTTATATATGTTTCTGTCATTTCTCTCTCTACAAATTTTTTAATTCTAAATAAATAATATTATATTTTTCTTCAGATACTTCAAACTTACTTCCTTTTTCTTCTCTCTCTATATTTTTTTCATTATAGTCCCCATCAAGTGTTCTCTAAGGCATTTGATGAAAACTTTTATTTTCCACGACTAGACATGAAATTTAAGAAAAATATTTAAATTTTATAATATTATAATACATTTTTAGTCTTGTGACTTTAGGTATGTCGAATAAAATATAAGACGAATAAATTAAAATAGAGAAAATATTATTATTGTTATTTTAGGAATAATCTAATCTAATTAAAAATTAGAGAAATATATCAATGGCCTTTTAAATTTGTCAATAAATTTATTAGATTTTCAAATACAATATATGTTTTGATGTAGCAAGTAAATATATAATAAAGTGAATACTTTCAATTCAAATTTTAGAAAAAAATTATATCAGTGTTTTCAAATGTTTATCATGTTGTCATATCCTTTAATTACATACGTTCATTTTATAATTGAAACACACCCAAGATTTTGCGATTTATTGAGATTGATACGTATAATTAAAAATATAACATATTTATAATTTAATTATGTAACTTTTCAAAAATTTAAACTGAAAGTATCTAACACAGACACCTTATTACATATTCAAGTACTCGATCAACATATCCTAAGTTTAAATATTTAAATAAATTTTATTAATAAATTTAAGAGTTTGTTTATGTATTCCGCCTTCGAGAATATGTCCTTATTTATATATGATATTTGTAGTAGTACCTTTTTTCATATATTGAAAGTTACCTAACATATCATTACGGAGTTGGAGGAGCAATGTAGATAGATCCTTTTGTAAATCTATGATGGTGTTATTTATAGAAAATATACTTGTTTGAAAGTGACTGCACATTTTTCTTGCTTCTGCAATTTTGGGTTATTGGATTATTAAAAAATAAAAAATATTTTTTTAATTTTCAAGTAAAAGTTCTTGCAATTGTTAATATCCTAATTAAAGATGTTTATACTATTACATTTATAGTTTTCACTGTAATAATTTATTTATATCATGCATAAATCATCATTCATTAACATAAGTAAAATAATTATCAATCTCATTAGTCTTAAACAATGTATACACTGTATTAGTAGTAGTAATTAGATATTAATGAAGTTTTCTGTTGATATTAAATATAACAAGACCATAAGGTAGTAAATGTACTTTAAAGCATCAACTAAACAAGAAAATTTGATTGTTCTTGAAAAATTAGTTATATTTTGATATGCACATAATAAATATGGTCATGTCCTTGAATATTATTTTGGCAAATAATAATAATAATTGTGTTTTGACTTGAATATGATTTATTTACTTGTATATTAAATGTTTATTTTTGAAAAAATCAGTCAAATATACGTTACATATCTTAAATGGGTTTTGTATTTGGATTTGCGCTTAGAAATGTGGTCATATTCTTGAACATATTTTGGCAAATAATATTAAGTGTTTTCGACGGAAATCAAATTTATTTACATGTATATTAAATGTTTGTTGACTTTGTTCTTATTTGAAATGAGTCAATTATACATAACATATTTAAAGAATTTTTTTTTATATTTTGATATGCACATAGTAAATGTGGTCATGTCCTTGAATATTTTTTGGCAAATAAAAATAATTATTTTTAAATTTAATTTATTTATATGTATATTAAATATTTTTTTCCTTTTTAAAATGAGTCAACTATACGTTACATATCTTAAATTGAGTTTGTATTTTAGTAATATGGGCATTTACTTGAATATATTTTGGCAAATAATAATAAATGTTTTCAATTGAAATCAAATTTATTTACAAGTATATTAAATATTTAGTCTTATTTGAAATGAGTCAATTATACATTACATATCTAAAGAGCTTTTTTATATTTGGATATGTACAAAGTAAATGTAATGTCTTTGAACATTATTCGATAAATTAAAAAAAAAAATTAATAAAACTTGTTCAAATCTTATATAATGTTTATTTGAAGTTCAAAAACCCAAACAACATGTATTTTCGTTATTGTCTTTTGTGATATCATTAACTACTCACATTTTTGTTGATTTAGGAGTGGAAATATAAGTTGATTTTAAGTATAATATGATTAATAAAATATTTAACTGAAAATAACTAATGCAAAATTAATTAAGCTTTGAATAAATAATAATTTGATATCATTAGCTAACAAATTTGTGATTTGTTTGATTTAATAATGCTCAAAAGTATCGATCTTCTTTTTCACCTTTTTTAAAGAAAATGTTTTTAGTTGCATAGCAAATACACTACAAATTAGTCAAATTTATAACGTGATTAATAAAAAATAAATATCTAATTGCAAATAACTAGTGTAAAGTAAATTACAGTAAAACCTCTATAAATTAATACTCGGTAAATTAATAATCTCTCTAAAGTAATATTTTCCTCCGGTCCCGACTTGGGCCAATGGAAAAAATCACCAATTTCGATAAGATAATAAGATAATATATTTTCAGAAGACCCCTATATAAATATATGGTCCCATTAATATCATAAATTAATAATTCTTTAAAAGTACAAGTATATCTAAGACAATTTACTGAAATTTGATTCTATTGTGTTCTGTTTTTTTAAAAAAATAATAATTTAAATCTTGTTGAAGCTCATTTCTAACTTTTCTTATTGCATCCAAGAGCTCTGGTGTTGTATTTTCAAACTGCATCATTAAATTGTGAAGAGTTTTAGATGTGATAAGTGCTTCCTTACGCGTAACTGGTTCCAAAGGTATAGTATCATCTTCAACTTCATCATCAACATTGTTTTTTTCGATGGTATCCACAATTTATTTTAAGCTCTAGACCTCTCAACATGTATCACTTTTACTCGGATAATCCAACATGTTATTGACATCCATTTTATTGTGATAAGCGAGATCATTAATCATGACCACAAGTTCATGAATGATGTTTTCACAAGTGGGTTCATTCAAATTCTCTGAGATTACATCCCCCAAACGAATTTTACAGTGTCGAAAACAATTTGCTATTGTCTCTTGCTAAACATTTGTTGTCCAAGCAGGGATTGCAAAATTGATAGCATCCAAAACATTAATCTTTACTGGATCAGTTTGTCCCACTTCATAGCCTTCTAATATCCTACGATAAAATTTGTTACGATAATACATCTTGAAAGCTCTTATTATCACAACATCACAAGGTTCAATTTTGGATGTCATGTTGGGTGGCAAGAAAAACAATTCAACATTTTGTAGTCCTTCAATGTTTCTATTATAAGCTGGACAATTATCTACTATAAGCAAAACTCATCTACCATGCATTTTGTGGTCAAACCAACAAATATATTCATCAAAAAGCACACTTGTCATCCATGCTCTTTTGTTTGCACGATAGTGACAATTCAATAAATATGATACATAAATTAGTAATTAAGATACAATGATTTTGATGTATTCGTTGTACTTTATATATAATTTTTTTAATGTGAAAATCAATAAATATGATACATAAATTAGTAAGATATAATGATTTTGATATAATCAAAATTAACCTTCATTAAATCTCAAATCTTCATTAAATCTCAAATCATTCTTTACATTAATAAATATTAATTTATCGATTAAATAATATCTCTATAAAATAATAAAATTTCATGATTCTACCTATATTAGTTTATAGAGGTTTTATTGTATGTGTTGAATAACTAACGATTTGATAGCATTAAATAACAAATTAGTGAATTATTTAGTTTAGGGATAAGGGTCTGCAAAAATATCCCAACTTTGGTCGGATTTGTTGTTGCGATACTAAACTTTCATAAGGACCTATTACCTCCCTAGACTATTTAATACCGTATTTCTTACCCCCTGAACTATCTAGTAGTGTATTTTAAAGGTATATATGTGCCCACGTGGACACATTACTATTTATAATTTTGCATTATTTTTTATGTCCACGTGGGCAAATATATATGTTTAAAATACAGTATTAAATAGTCTAGGGAAGTAATAGGTCCTCATGAAAGTTTAGTATCGCAATAGCAAATCCAACCAAAATTGAGGTATTTTTCAAACCCTTATCCCTTTAGTTTAACTCTAAAATTGTTTGATCTTCTTTGTTAGTTTTTTAAAGATTTTTTTCAAAAACTTTATATATATAGTAAATATAAATATGTTAAAAGTTACTCAGATTTATTTACATGTATGTGAATGATAATTGTTATTTGTAAGAGAGTCAACTACGTGTTACATATCGTAAACAAGTATTTATATTTGAATATCCACATAATAAAAATGAGCACGATCTTATGTATTAGTTGGGCAACTAAAACTAATTATTATTTTAATGAATATACAATTAAATTTAATTCAAATATTACGATTTTTATTTGAAATTTTGAAACTCAAACAACAAGTATCAAAATTTATTAACTATTTATAGCGTTGTTGATTGAATGTATATGTTGATTTAAGTATACTATGATTAATAAAATAAATTTTTTCACCATTGATTAAAGAAAATATGTACATAACTGTTTATTTGTATCAACACTTCATATGTTTACTTTGAATTCACTAATAGGAAAAGAGAAATGATCGGGAAAAAAATTCATTTAGATATAAAGTAAAAAATGTATACTAATTAGTGTATGAAAGCACAATATACAATTTTTTAAACTTTATTTTTCCTTATATGCACATAGTAAATGTGGTCCTATT